GATCACTGCTGCTTTGTCTCCACGGAAGATCACTGCTGCTTTGTCTCTACGGAAGATCACTGCTGCTTTGTCTCTACGGAAGATCACTGCTGCTTTGTCTCCACGGAAGATCACTGCTGCTTTGTCTCCACGGAAGAACACTGCTGCTTTGTCTCCACGGAAGAACACTGCTGCTTTGTCTCCACGGAAGATCACTGCTGCTTTGTCTCCACGGAAGATCACTGCTGCTTTGTCTCCATTGAGGTTACAACCGTTGTCCCTGTGGAACATTACCAGTGTTCTGGCTCTGTGGAGGTCCACTGCTGTTTGGGTTCTCCAGATTGTTGCACTTAATTGTCCTCAGATGCCTGTGGCTGCTTCACTGGACTTCTCCACCACGAATTGTTTGGGGCGCGGTCCCTGAGCACTCATGTCAGTGATGTGGGTAATTAGCCATACACCTGGGTCTGGATTGCAACTTTTAAAATGAGTATTTGATTGTAAAAGTTCTCTTCTTTAAGTAGTTTTCCTTATTTTGTTTGGTTACAGCCCATTTACTTTGTAAATTGTAATGTATAATTGAGATATTTAGTTGGGCTGGCCTTTATTTGTTTTTTACTTTTATTTTTGATTTAGACTTAGTTTGGTGGTTGCCCTGTATTAATTTTGTGTTCCAGTTGCTGTGGTCTGGTGCTGTGCTGGTTTGGTGGCCTTCATCCGGTAACCTCAGCTCCTGGATTTTGTTTTGTTCCTCCCTTTTTTTTTTTTTGTTCATAGAATATTAGAGTATTTATAAAAATGTAAAATGAATAATCTTTTCCAAATTTGCAAGCCTGTCTCAGATGTCACAAGCATTTTTGATCTACGAACCGATGTGCCTTATAAATCACATAATTTTAATGAGAACCACTTGGTACCACCACAAAAGCATCAATTTAGCCAAAGTTGGCCTGTTGCCTTAGCTTAGCTTCTCAGCTTAGCTGCTATTACCGATCAAAAAAACAACTTTGGATGGTTTACAAACCGTTAAATTTTCACTATAAAAACACGACTGTCTGTTTGTTTTAGCAAATAAAATTAGAACTTTTTACCGTTTAAAGTGTCATTAAACGGGCTGTTAGCAATTGGTTAGCTACGCTAATGCCAACATAAAGTCCACAGCGATATTTTATAGTTTGTTACGGCTTAAAATCTAAAATGCATTTCAATTAAATTTTTGAAAACATGATTTATTAAATCCTCAAACCATAAATTTTAATCTGGCTGGACTCAATTGGTTATAAAATGCATGCACAATATCTATTTTAAATGTAGAAGCAGACGTAGTCTGACAAGAGTAGCCCTCACCTTTTCAAACGGAGACACACACTCACAGCTTGGAGCAGACGGAGCACAGAGAAAGAATGCAGCTTTAAACTTTTTTTTTTTTTTATGCTCAAAATTCAAACTAGCGTAGAGTAATTTTTCTGTGTAATTTCAAAGAACGCTCTTTAACGAGCCTCAAACGGCAGGCGACATTTAAATGTTATAAAAATAATGAGATGCTGATATGTGATAATGCATAACAAACAAATGAATAACAAATAGCTTTGTATCAAAGGTCTAATTGATTATTCAAATCAGTGAAACTTAAAAAGGCATATTTTGGACTGGTTCTGTTTGTGATGTTTAAAATTGTCTAAAGTGAGTGGTAGTTTGTCTGGTAAGATTATTGTGATGTATGATCACCAGAAAGGCATTAAAGGTCTTTCGTACCAGAATGAGATGGTCAGGAATGGTCCACAGCTGCTTAAAAATGGTACCAGCCCAGATGTTCTGGTGACTGAGAGGCTGATTTTTTCCTCAAAGTTCACCCGTCATCTGAGGGACGAGGGTCCATATGGGAGTCAGCTGGCATTTTTCCACTCCTGCGGTGTGATGGTTCTGGTAACAAATCTCAGGTTAATGCCAGGTTCTGGGTCTGCAGGGTTTCTTTATCTTTTTGTCCCGTCTCTGTGCAGAAAGGATGCTTCTCTCTTCTCTGAGTTTAGTGCAGAAAACTGGGTTTCTTCAGTTCCGAGCTCCAGAAGCGTGTAGTGAAAGAAGTAATAACCAGAAGTAGATGAGCTTGTGAAAAAGTAGTGAAGAAGTGAAGTGAAACTTAACTGTCTGAATGTTTCAGAGGTGAAGGTCCACCTCTCGGAAGAGATGGTCTTAACTCTTTGTCATGTTTTTATAAAGGTCTATTAATTAAATAGTCCTTTTCTCTCTGCCTTAAAAAGTCACTCTTCTTTTAAAAGAGAAAAATAAGACAAATGTTTAACTTAAAGAGAGAATACTTAAAACACACATTTTCACGAGTAAACATTCAGGTATGAAATAAAACAGAATCAATGTTCATCAAAAGGTGTCGCTGTTCATCCCCTGACAAGAAAATGTCATTAACAAAGGGTTCATTAAAATGTGTTATCTTCATGGGAACGAGTCCTTGGAGTAATACTCCTTTTTGATAAAGGAAGATAAAATCTCAGCAGATGTTTCAAACTTCGAGGTCAGTTGAACCAAACATTAAAACGATCTGTCTGTTTCATGGGAAATGAGTTCATATTGGCAGAGGGTAACACAGACAGTTTTTTTTAATATGTTCACATTAGTGTCAACTAAGAAGTTTGTGAACTGAGTTGAACACCTGTAAAAACAGTCTGTCTGTTCCCAAGGGAATGGATGCATCTTATTTAAAACAGTTTCAAACACAAAAACACATGAAGTCTGTTTGAGCAGAGATGATCTGTTTCTGAGGTGGTGTTCCCCTACAGTGGTGTCATCAGCATACTTCAGGATGATGTTAGAGCTGTGCTTGGCAGTACAGTCATGTCTTAAACTATTCAATAGTGTTAAAACCTTTTGAAGTCTCTCTGTAAATACTCTAAAATGACTCACATTAATAAAAAAAAAGGCAGACATTTTTGTAACCAACCTGACTGATGGTGCTCATAGCTCTCATGTAGCTTTCATTGCGTGAGCGGTACTGGGGTGAGGAGAGCAGTGATTTGGGGTCGAGGAGCGTTTTGGGATCCAAGGTGTCTAAGCTCCTATTGATTGAAACCTCACTAACTGCACGGAGGTAACTGTGGCTCCTGATCTGCAGTTTGGGAGAGTGCTCTGTTGAAATCCTGACACAGAGACAAAAGGGACACAAAGTTATATTGCAATACTCCCCTCACTAACCACAGTCCTGTTTTATACAATAGCTCAATAAAAAATAACCTCAAAGTGGGATAGCAATTCATTATACAGCCCGGCACATGAATGGGTATGTACTAGGGAACTACCTATGCATGCCTGGTACTTACCTGGAACCTACAGGGTATATTACAGGTTTGTACAGTTTTAGGACTATGTACAAGGTTCCTGGTATGTAAGTATAATGTAACTACCCAGTTCTTGCCAGGTACATATAATGTAAGGTCCGGGTATAAACCAGGTGTGTACCAAGTATGCATTTGGTCCTTACAGTGCATGTATTGAGTTCCTACCTGGTATGGTGAATCATAGTAAATCCTAAATCAAGTATCTGCCTAAGCTATGACTGTTGGAGACTAGTTGGTGAACAGCCCTCCAGAGGGAGTCTTGAAATATTAGAAGAGGTTCACAAGTCCCAGGAGTCTGTCTTTCTGACTGAATTTTGAGAATGTTCAAAAAACTTGTGCAACAAAACTTATCCCAAAATAGTCTGACTCAATGCAAACGTCTGGACATGGGGTTAATATCTCCAACTCAAGAGTCCTAGAGCTGCATCTTGACACCTGCACAGAAGCGTTTTAAAACATTTCTAACAACTGTGCTGGAAATAAATAAACTTTTTTCAATGGTTTAAATCTGCCTGTCTTAATTTATTTATTTGCCAGTAGGATGTCATTAATGTGGGGGTGATTGCCAAGTTGAGCACAAAATGGGCCGAGGCAAGCATAATGTTGGCAAAGGTAGGCAACAAAATAATGCACATGACCCAAAGTGCAGTTCTACAAGCACTGAACATAGAAAAAAGCTGTAATCTTCAAAGATTGGCTGTGCAAATATGGTTTTGTTTGCAAAAACTCAAAATTCAGCAAGACTGCAAAAAAAAAAAGTGCTTGACTCACAATATTGAGTCAAGCTTGTCTCCAACTGTTTTTAAACAAAGCAACAAGACTTCTTTACAAGTTTTTTTTTTTTTTTAAGGTGTTTCTGATGTTTATCAGAAATGCTGAAATCAGACTGAAAAGTGGCTTGTTCCAATATTTAAAATCATTTTAAAAGTCCAACAATAAGTATAAATTAAGTGCTGGCATTAGTTTGAACAAACTCTTAAGAATTAAAGAAGGATAAATAAAAAGTAACAGCTGTGGATGGCTTATAGTAGCAGGTAGAGCAGTATTCACACCCAACATAGACTTCTTTTCTTCTTGTTTTTCCCCAGAAAACTTCACGTTGCTTGACATTTGTTGTAGGAAGATTTTGGTAATGATTGAAATAAATCAGCTGTCAGTTAACCTGTCACACTGAATGCTGAATCAAGCTCCCAACCAATGATTCTCTTGAGATTTTTATGACAATTTGTCTAACGCAGCCTAAAATTGCACTGGATGAACATGTATCCATATATTGTATTGTATTATATATTGGATCTGCCTGTCCCTGCCAACTTCATTGTTTTTGGTTTCTGAGTAATCACATCTTTATAAACTATTTCACCATGGATTGATTATGGGGCTAGTTGTCACACTATTAACTCCTGTAATTACACATCGATCACAAAAAAAACCACAAGAAAATGTCTGATAATAATCCAACATTTTTCAGTCAGGTCATCTGGACAGTTTCTTTTTTTGTGTGTGTTGAAACGTTTCACCTTCAATCCAGAAGGCTTCATCAGTCAAGGAAACACACAACAAAACTGATTCTTCCCCCAACAGCTTACTCCAAAGTGGAACAAACCAGTTTTGCTTGTGATAAGCTTGTGAGCATGTTAGCTCATGTATTATTTCATAGACAAACAAACAGAAATGGCTAATAATGTTAGCCAGACTCCAAGATGTGCTCCTCCATTCACCATAGCGTTCAAGGAAAATATGTCTGTGCCACAGAATGGTTACAGCATATATTGAGAAAAGGTTGCATCCCTTTTCGGATGTGGAATCACCAACATTTAAGTTAGTTAGCTTAGCTGAGCTCTATTGTTATTGCCTAATTAATAGTCCATCCTAAGTTAATATTACAGTAACCGTGACATTACATGTTTGCAGGGACATGGTGAAAACCATCAACCCAAGTACACACCTACCATGGACCACTTGTCAAATAAGTTAATCATCTTGGTATAAGGTGGAGAAGTCCACTGTAACTACAGAGCTGCTCTGCACTTTAAACAGAAGCTGGATGATGTGTCTGGGAGCAGATCCAGAGGAAGCTGACTGAGCAGGTGAAATGTCATTCATGCACACCTGTCCTTTTCTGCTATTAAAATCTGAAATGTAAATACTAGTAATGTTCTTTGTGGTCAACAGAGGAAGACTGTGGAGATGATGGGGTCACCATGCAGTCTGAGGAAAGGCCTGAGAATGAGGGAGTGGAGGATGAGGAGGAGAGTGGAAGAGTATGATAGCTGAAATGATATAGATTCTCAATCTTAATAATGATCATGACTTTAAGGATCCCTTTTTACTGATACTACTGATGAACCTGCTGTTTGTTCAGGAACCGCCTCCCTGCAATCTGTCCAGAAAGTCTCCACTGGAGGAGCTTTTTGCTGAGGAAGAGGCACAACGTAATGTCACATGTCCATGTCTATCAAGATACAAGTGGAGAGAAGGCTGCACATGTACCAGGCCATTCCACCTTTCTATCTGAGGAACATGCTGCTGGTGGTGGAACCAACACAAGACAGTCTTTGCTGTCAGATCTTGCATTCTCATATTTATGTGTTCAAGCTTCTTCTACACCCAGCAAACGTGTGTTCTCTACTGCAGGAGACACTGTCTGTCCAGAACGCTCACACATACTGCTTGAGAAGCAGATATGATCATTTTCCTCAACAAGAATCGTTTCTGATTTTATACTGTATCTACTGCTAATCTGGACTGGATTGTACAAGTTGCTCATTTTTATAATAATAATAATGTTGTTTGATATTCTGCAGCAGGTTAGCCCATCAGTGGGAGCTCAGTAACATGGCTGCAGCATAACACACTGGACATGTGGAAATGTGTTTCCATGAGGTTTTCAAACATAAAGCTCTCTTGTGAAAATGTACCCCTGTGAAAAAAAATTCATAACATTTATATTAAAGTTCATAAATTAGATATTTATGAACTGGTTAAAATAGCCCCGTGAGAAATTCAAAATAAAGTTAATAAAAAGTAAAAAGTTCATGGAATTAAAATTCAAATAGAAGTTCAAATTATTTCATCCAGAAATAACTCTGGCTAGCTAGCTCATTTATAATGTGACTTTAAAAAACAAACAAACACAAAAAAAAAAAAAAAAACACCTCTAAAACAATCAAATTGGGAATCGACAGGATTTGGAATCAAAACGAAGAATCGGAATTGCAACCGGAATCGTTGAAATTCAAACTATGCCCAATCCTATTAATGACATTGTTGAAGCACTGGATGCTAAGGACTATTGTGCTACACTTTATTTATACCTGTCTAAAGCTTTTGTCACTGTGGACCATGAAATCTTATGTCATAAGCTCTCAGAAATTGGTTTCTCGTTGGTTCACTAACCGTCTCTCAGACTGGGGGCAATGTGTTCAACATGGTACTTCCTCCAGTTATTTAACAGTCAACAACGGTGTACCACAAAGCTCAGTCTTAAGACCCACCCTCTTTACAATCTACATAGGTAATGTAGGTTAGAGCATCCCTGATGCATCCTTATGTGGCCAGGGGGGGGGGGGGGGGGGGGGGGGGTAGTTGTTTAAATAGATAGTTTTGCATAAAACTCAACAACGCCAGTTGGGGGATGCCATTACCCAACGATTTAAAACACTACAGGTTCGGAAGAATACACCTTGACAGACTGATTTCTATTCAAATATTATTTTATAATTTATTAAAACAATTAAAAAAACAAAGCTTTCAGGTCTACTACTCAGTCCCTGAGGACAAAGGGAGCATGAGGTAAGCAGATATTTTGGTTGCTCCACAAACAATAAATTAAAGATACCACAGATGGTGGAACAAACTGTTAATGTCCAGTCTCACATATTACAACAGGGCAGAGGAGACATGCACTGTCCCACTGACCGGCTGAAAAAACAACAGTAACGAATGCAGTGGAAGAGCAGCCCAAACTCTGAAAGTAGTCTCAACCTAGGGCAATACAAAACCAGAGAGCAGAGCATCCTTATGCACTGGGGCATTAAAGCACAGCAGTGCACAACTCAACTGCATGCAGAGGAGCAGAAGCGCAGCCTACCAAGGGAATGAGCAGATCAGAAGCAGACCATAAGAAGGCAGAAGCTGTGCACTACAAATGGCTCCAGCTGCAGCCAATAACGCCAGTGGAGCAGCAATGGATCTCAGATGAGACACAGGCAAGACGTGGAATACCTAGAGAGTTGGTTCAAGGAGAATAGCCTTAACATCGATGTGAAGAAGACGAAAGAGATGGTCGTGGACTTCTGAAGGAACAACCCCCACGACCCCGAATATAGGAGGAGCTGCAGTGGAAGGAGTCTCCACCTACAAGTGCTTGGGTGTGCACTTGAATGACAACCTCAGCTGGAGCAACAACACCACCAGACTGATCAAGAAAACTCATCAGAGACTCTACTTCCTTAGACGGTTGTGGTGAGCTGGTCTGGGAAGCTCAGTCCTCACCTCCTTCTACAGGTGTGCAGTGGAGAGCATCCTGTGCTCCAGCATCAACGTGTGGCATGGAGGCTGCACAGCTGCAGAAAGAAAGAAAAGCTTTGCAGAGAGTGGTGAAGGCTGCACAGAAGATGTTGGAGTCAGTCTCCCCACCATCACAGACATCTACACCTCCAGATGCAGGAAGAGGGCCTCCTGTATCATGAAGGACCCCACTCACCCAGCACACACACTTTTTGCCCGCTCCCCTCATGAAGGAGTATAAATTTAAAAAAAAAATCAAGTCTGTGTTCATTGGTGTAAAGTAAGCCCTACCAACAATGCCAACAACGATTTAAAATACCACAGGTTATACCACAAGAATACACCTTGACACAAACTGATTTCTATAAAAAATAATAAAACTGTCTTTAAACAGAGGAGGTCGTCTTAGATTCCAGCTTTCAAAAACCTACAATGTAGTCTACACTCATCTCCAGGCCAGCGGTCACTCGTTCAGTGGTGAAGATGTTCACATCCTGGACAGAGAGGAACGATGGTTTGAGAGAGGAGTAAAGGAGGACATCTTTGTGAAAAGAAACCGTCCATCGTTAAACAGGGGTGGAGGCCTCCGGGTTCAACTGTCCCCCTCTTACAATGCTGTGATTGCTAGTATCACTCAGCCCTCTGTGAGTAGTAAACAGCCATCAGTGTGCTAATGATCCATAGTTAGGCTGATGGGACCCCTTTGATAATGTGAACAGCTGGTTTTGAATGTCAGCAACAAACTGGTTGATTATAAGACTGAGCTGAACACAGCTCCTCAGACTGAAAAGGTCTTTCGGATGAAAGACAAAACGTTTCTGCATTTTTTTGAACGTCCAGAGAACCTGACTTAACTTTTTTAGATTTTGCTACATGGATTATTGAGCATGCATCAGGAGATCAATTGTAGCAACCTCCCAGGACATGCAAATGGTCGCAACCCTATTGCTGGCTGGTAGAAAAAAACAGCCAGGGAAATAATCCAAAATCATTCAAGTGGAACTCCGTAGTTAGGATTTGTCACTTTCTGACCGAACCATTTTGAATTACAAAGGGTTTCATGGAAGAAGGCCTTGAAGATCTTCACTAGTGACATAAAAACACAAAAAAGCCAGACAGGGATTTCAACAAGTCAACTGGTGAGAAAAAAACTGAAGCTTTTGGCCAGTCTCATGAGTTTGGCTTTTCTGAATATCATCAAATGAGTATGAACAGATTTAATGTGGTGTGGTAAATTTAAGCCCCCAGTATACTGCCGCGTATGTCCGTTCACGCGTACGTACGCGTGTACTGTACGCAGAGGGTTCAGATGTCAGACTCCAGCGTACACCCCGAGCAGCTGCAGAGCAGCTTCACAGACAAGGGGCGTTTACCTTCTGGACAAAATGAGGTCGCCGATTGGTCATTTGCTGACACGCCTACTGGATTGAATGACAGGTCAGGAAAAAAAAAAAAAAACGAGTGCTGGCAGCCTCAGCCACAGCAGTGTTCTGTGTTTATATGTTGTTAATAAAAAGATCTCAAAAAAAAAAAAAAAAAAAAATCAGGGAGCGCTGGCTCTACAACCCACACATCAGACCAGCACACCAGGAAATCTCCAGACCCTCCCGCAGCCACGCTGGACCTGAGTTTAATTCGTGACAAATTCCTTAATTTCTCACCATTTCAGTCATGGCATCAACGGAGGAGGAAGAGATCACTGCCTCTTGGCAAAAAAAACAGAAGAAAAGGCCAGATCAGGGATGAAGAAGGGGAATTTAATACATTGGTGTCGCATACAAAACAGTCCGTCGCCGGGCAGTTTATTGTGCGACACCACGTACGCGTATGCGGTCGTAAAAATTGAGCTTTGCACGGACATGCCCTCGGGGGTACGCTCGTACCTCTGCATACGTACGTGCGTACCTCTGCACATGGATGTACGCGGGAGTATACTGGGGGCTTAAGTTCATACAAATTGGGTGGAGCTTCCAGGTAGTGATGCTGAACCCTGAGCACTGGCAGGTTTATGAGAATTGATGGTACACTAAGGACAAAAGCCTGAGTACCAGCCCTCATTGAGCACTGCTTTCAGCTAATCCCCTGTCAGTTTCACAGCAATTCATACCTTTCTATCTGTGACCAAAGCTTCTCTGGATCAAAAATATAAACTAATAAATCCTACCCACCTTCAGGAAGAAGGGGGGGATGATTTGCATTTGAGTTCAGCTCTCACAAACTGAACAGTTTAACAAGCTTGGGACTGCACATTTTAGTTGAATTTGAGGAAGTTCCCCAAATGAGAAGCAAAATGACTTGAACAAATGAGGAAAGATGTCCAGTTGCTGTGTTAAAAAACTTAATTACCAGATAATGTGCTTAAACTGAGGCAGGCTTTGATGCCCAGAAACATGCAAAGTTTCAGTTTTTTTTTAACCATAGCAGCAGAAGAAGAGAAAAAAATATGTTAGGATAAAAACAGTGGATAAAGTGAAATCTTACTGCAGCGTGGTCATCTCAGTCAGTGATGGCTGTGTGGCTTTCAGGTAGCTGGCTCTTCGTGCCTGAACTTTGGGTGATGGTTTGGGACTCCCCTCAGAGTCCCCACTGTCATCTTCAGCCATGGCTTTGACATAGCTGCCACTCCTCATCCTTCGACAGGGGATGTCATCCTCCTTCCCTAAAGGAGAGAAACCACTCCACTCATCCTGAGGAACCTGATGGGCAGGGGGGAGAACAGAAAAACAGTGTCAGGATGATCCATCCCACCAATCTCTGACTCCAAGCCATCAAATTAGCAAATCTGAACTGTCCTTGTGGTTCAAAAAACTCCAAAAAACAAAACAAACAAAAAACAACAACAAAGCCAGCATGCTTGTCAACAAAAAACACAAGACAAAATAAGCTAGAGAGTAAAGTGATGATAGGGGGTTATTTTCATTCATCCCTCTTTCATACACATGTCCTTCCATCCATCCATCCATCCATCCATCCATCCATCGCTCCCACACTGAAGTCAGATTGCTGGATAATTAGAATAGAACAGGATGTACATAGCTTGTTCAGAGAATTCTCTCTGGCTAATTCAAGCATCTGCTTAGCACACAGTAATGTAGTGCAAACCAAAACCACATTGGCCTGTACAGATGAACTATAGACTGAGGAACTGCGTGGATCTGCACTCATGTGTTCATTCTTACGCCTCCTCAGGCTTTTCTCATTAACTGTGACTTTTAAGTATGAGGAAGAATATGTTGGGCAGATCATTTCTGCACAGATAAATACTAAAACAGTTTAACAAGCTTTATGAACTCAAAAAGGACCCTGCTTTTCATTAGCTGAGTTTTAGACTAAAATCATTTTATGATGAAGAGTGATATAGTTGTAGACGTTTGGATCAAACATTTTATTCTGTAAATCTTGTAGGATATTGCCAAATGCTGTTTATGTGTTTTGAAGGACTTTCAACTACTACCACAACAAATTGTAGCTAAATATCTGTCAAACTGTCTGAATTAAAGTCACATTTCTGTTTAATTAGGTTACTTGTTTTTAGTGGCCATCTTCAGGTTTAGTGTATGTCACATGCAAAATCAACACAAGGTCAACAAAGCAATAAAATGCTTAGGATGAGAAGAACTGTCTCGCAATAAAAAAAAAGCATGCAGCAAAAAATACTAAAAACATACTAAAAATACTAAAAACAAGGTGCCAAAGAAATACATCTACAGTGTGATTGGGTTAGCAGTGAGGTTCTTTCAACAGCATGGTTCTGTTGGCGGCATGATCTTGTTAGCAGGTTCGGTCAGCAGCTTGATGTTAATAAGGACCGCAGCAGCTGCCCTCACAGACCACAGTCCACAACCAGGTCCGACAGACAGAGAACATCCAAGGTTTCCCCACAGAACCGAACAGGTCCATAGAGTTTGATCAGTGCAGGCAGATAGTCTTGTTAGCAGCATTAGCAGCGTTAGCAGGCCCTGCTAGCAGCTTGATGATAATAACGACCGCTGCAGCTGCTGTCACAGACCGCAGTCCAGAACTGGGTCCAGAAGACAGAGAACATCCAAGGTTTCCCCACTGAACCGAACGGGTGCGTAGAGTTCGGTCCGTGCAGGCAGATGATCTTGTTAGCAGAGTTAGCAGCGTTAGCAACATTAGCAATGTTAGCAGCGTTAGCAGCATTAGCAGGCCCCGCTAGCAGGCTCCACTAGTAGCTTGATGGTAATAACGACCTGAGCAGCTGCCCTCGCAGACTACTTCTACTTCAGACCACTAGTATCTTGAATTGGGCTGGCTCCAGAAATGATTCAGTTCTAGACATACATCCAGAGATTAGTTCTACATTTCAATGAAATTCTTCCGGTGGTTCATGAGATTGTTTCCTAGAAGTCAGACAAAAGTGACTCCAAATACCAAACTTAAACATTTTGAACAAATATCTGCAATATGTTAGTGTTCTAAATACATGTTGACAATTAGTCTCAGTTACTACCACACCAAAGTTTAGTGATGACTACAAAATGTCATTATTTGGGGTTGCGCAAGATGGCGGTGAATCTATAAGCAGCGTTTTTCCAGGATTCCATCGTCTCTGCTTGAAAAGCTGCCTTTCATGAACATATTCTCGCTACCTACACATTGAATTATTTCTCTGAGAAAGGAGTTGTCACAGGATTGATTTAATGGAGCTGTAATATGGACTTTAAATTTTAAAAATCTAAGGCAGCAAGTTCTTTGCCCACACAGCCTGCGGACACAACTATAGCCTGGGATGGCGGTTTTGCCACAGCAGGTGCGTTGGCCCCGCCTTCACCGAGCTCTGGAAAGATGTTTGAGTCAGATCTGAAGTCAGATATTATGGCTTCAATTAAATCTGAAGACACAACAATAATTAGTATGGAAATGAAGGTGACTCTGACAGATGATTTTAATTGTATCAAGAGCGAATTGCAGGCGGTACAAGCTGAGCTTGTTGGTGCCACAGCAGCCCTCAGAGCAGTTTGACCAGGTGAAGCTGAGTGTAGCGGTGGCTGAAAATTGGCTGTCTTTATGCTCGGATGAGGTGGAGGCTCTACATGGGACCATGGTGGAACTGAGAAATGAGGTGGATGGGCTGAGAAAAAAGCCTGAATCAGTGGAAGGGAATATGAAACAGAACTATATATATATA